CATTGTGTTTCCTTGACCTCAGAAGTGAGGTAGGGCTAAGAGCATCAGTTATCCCTTATCATTGAATTGTTATGTGAGATCAAAAGTAGTTCATTAGTTAAATATTTTTGTGTATTCTTTTAGTGTAGCGTTCATAAAGCAAAGATGGTCACTGATTGAAGAATAGTGACAATACTGGTAACTAAAGAAAAGAAGTGATTGTGACACATACTCCTTAAATGATCCCTCCTGTAATTTTTTGGAAAATTTCTCAATAAGATCTACCGTTTGTAATAGAAGATTCTTTTAAAGAACTTGTAGTGACTTGCTAGCCAGTTTTGGAAGCTTAGTAACAAATCTTTGAGGTTGTACTTTCTCATTATGTTAGGGAACTAAGTGTTTTCAACACCAGCATCAAAAAAATCATACTCTTTATGTGTTGTATTTTGTTAACTTTTAAAATTTATGACTGATCCTGAGTTTTCCAAAATTCAGTTGGATAATATGAGACAGAGTGTATTAAGAAGGAAATATATTTCAGATGTTTCATAAAAATTGTAAGTGCTAAAATACTGAATCTTGGCCCTTCTTTCTTCTTGAAATACTAGTGTCCCCAGCTTCCTGAGATACTATTTGTAAGAACCTCCAAATAAAACATATTTTGAAATTATAGAAAGTTTAATTTTCTTGTATGTTATATTTCCTGGGATTGAGCACATTCCCCTTAGAGATTATTTCTATGGCTATTTAATTTACAGTAAAACATTTGTTAATTTTCTAATAAGTATTCGAACCCTCATGTCTCATAGTATAGAAAATTGATCCTACAGTAGATATCATTTTGTTACCCTTCCTTTGATTTGTTTTGTTAGATTTATGAATAAAATATGCTGTCTGAACAGCATATTTCATGAATACTTCAAATGACACCTGGCTTGTTCAAATTAGAGTAGAATTGTCTTTATTGATCTGTACACATTTCTGCTGCATGCTAAATTTGCATTATTTTTTACAGCAGCATCTCAAGTTGGTTTCTTTTCAGTTTTGTGTAGTTACACCTGCCATTTAATTTCCAAATGCATTACTCCAAATTTTGATCTTGAATTGTGTCTGGACTGTCATTCTGTACAATAAATGGATACTTTGATTCTAATGAAGGGCTTTATAAAATTCTTATTGTCTTCTATTTTAAGGCTTTTCCCCTATATTTGTGTCAATCTTAGGTGGTTTTGTTGAAATCAGGTTGTAAACTATCAGATTTGTTCCCTGGTTCATTTTAGTTAATTAGTAGAATCTGGTCCATCCTTCCTTCTTTTCCTGCCTGCCTCCCTGCCTGCCTGCCTCCCTCCCTCCTCCCTCTCTCTCTCCCTCCCTCCCTCCCTTGGCTTTATTCCCTCATTCCCTTCTTCCCCTTCCTTCCTCGATTCTCTCTTCCCTTACCATACCAGCCATTGCTCCTTACTGCATTACATGGTTTGCCTCACCATTGCACTTATTAACTTAGGAGATAAAATAAATTTTATGAAATAAATTGTAATACAGTGCTACTCACATCTCCAGGTTGTTCATAAATTTATTATGATTAACCTTATGAAGTGGTTTATTAAGGCCACCTTGAAATTAAATAGTAGTTTACAAAAAATAGCTTTGACATCTGTGCTGACACATTCCTTAAATTGTATTTAAACAAGTCAGATATCCCTTATAGGCAATGCTTTGGACTTGTAATGTTTTACATTCCTGGAGAAGATACTCAGTTGTAAGCATGAAATTTATTTAAATTTTATATATAAAACTTGATAATTTTATGTAAGTTTTTAGTGTACTGTGTTTTCCTTTTGGTTTTAATTTGTTTTTGAGATAGAGATTCATTGTGTTACCCAGGTAGGCCTCAGACTCCTGGGTGTAAGTGAGCCTTCTGCCTCACATTCTCTAATACCATGGACAAAAAATACCATCACTCTTGATTTTCATCTATCTTTTGATTGTGTTACTTATCATACAAAGTTTGGTCTAGAATTTTCTAGTTATGATGTTATATTGGAAATTTTTTGTCTGCTTCTCTTTGAATTATGAACTCCCAGTTTTCCCTTTATTTATTTATTTAAAAAAATTTTTTTTTGCACAGCTGGGGATTGAACTCAGGAACTTGCACTTGCCAGGCAAGCACTTTATTTTACTGAGCTATCTCCCCAGCCCTGTAGTTCTCCCTTTTATGACCAGAGAATTTGTTTGAGCAAATTAACTACTTCCTGTTTCTTCCTTACTTTCCTTGTGGTCATTCTTGAACCCAAAATAACTAAAAAAGCAGAATAAAATTATTTTTATTTTTGTGTATAAGCAATGTAATATAATGTTTGCTTAAGAAAAGAGCTTGATCAATTTATCTCTTAACTACAAAAGTGATGGAAGAGTTTATGGAAATGAATGCTCCAGGTGAAGATAAGTACCTTTTGTGACGCAAGCAAGGTTCTTAGGTGGAGGTTATGGGCAAAGAAAGGGGTGTTAGTGGAGAATAGAAGGGAAGTACTATTCTGGAAAGTGAGTAAGTTAGGCAAATGTATAGTTTATTGGTGGGCCAATCAAATTTCTTGATGACTTTAAACAGGCCAGTCAGCACATTTTGGGTTTCTTTATAGACATTTCCAACTTTTTGTTTTCAGACCTGTACTGTACAAAAAGCTGAATTTCACCAGAGTTCTACAAAGACCACGAGCCTGTTAAAGTGTAATTTTGGTTTTGTAGACCAGTCACAACTCTTGCCATTGCAGCCCCAAAGCACCCATTGTGCCTTAGTTACTTTCTGTTGCTGGTACAAAAATACCTGACACTCACAAGTTAAAGGAGGAATGGTTTATTTCAGCTCACAGTTCATAGAGGTTTCTGTACAATCAGTTGGCTCCAGGGGATGGCTGAGGGACCTCACACGGGAGAAACAGTTCACATGTAACAGGCAGACAACAACAAGCATTGAAATAGCAAGCCTGCGTTCTTTCAGTCCGTTCATATTCCATTAAAATCTGCCAGTCTGTTGATTGGTGCCATGCATACCCTTAGTCCCATTTTTACACCCTTAATCCACACTGACTGGCACACCCTAACCCAGCTACCTTTGAAATTCCCACCTATGACCACATGAGGGGGGGACATGTAGATATAAGCTGTAGCAGACAGATAATTTTTTTTGTTTTATTTTTTTCCCATAATTTTATTGAGAAACAAATAACAATGAGACAGTTTCAAACCAAACTGGTAGGATAGTTTCAATAATTAACACATTGCATACATTCTTCCTAGTGGTTAATTGCTGTACAAGATGCGGACATGATATCCTATTTACAAACACTATTAGAACAAATCCTTCTATTCATTAAGAGAATGTAACTATATATCTATCCTAACCACTTTGAATACACAGATACAAAGTGGGCATTCATCTGTATCCCTTTTTTTTTGTTAAGTTCCGTTATTTGAATATTATAGGTGTGTTAACTCAGCAAAATATCTAAAAGAGTCCAGTAGCCTATAATAGTATTGGGTCTTCCACTTCACTGGCAATGTCATAAATTGTTGACCTGAGTCCTCTACAGCTCAACATAACAGCATGGCTTTACTTCTTATACTTCATTTTTATACTTTTCTGCTGGATGGTTAAGACCAAGGTAAAGCAGAACCTATGCAACAAGAGTTGTAGCTTTTGGGGCAGACAGATAATATTAACTGAATGGACATAGCTGTGTTCCATTAAAATTTTATTAAAAAATAAAACAGCAAGCTACTGTTGTTCTTTGGTTACCCCATTGTTAAGACTGATGAACATAAACATCAAATTTAAGTACACTGTAGAAGGGAGAAATGGAAGTGAGAGATAGTATCACTGAAAGGTCAGTGTCCTGATCTTTCACCAAACTGTTTAGTGAACTATGTTACCCTCCTTGACCTTATATCTTTGAGTATAGTTTTCTCTTTACCTAAAGTACTACTTTTGCCCAGCATGGTGACGTATACCTATAATCTCACCACTCAGAAGCCTGAGATAGGAGAATTGCCACAAGTTCAAGGCTACTTGATTGCCTAGCATAGGCTACTTGGTGAGTTCAGAGCCAGCCTGAGCTATCCCTTGTCTGAATGAAGAGTGAGTGAGGGAGTCTAGCTTCTCTAATACTTAATTCAGATGTCTCATATCTGCATCCTACTTTGTGGAATGGAGCTATGTGAAATGCTCAGTAAATTACTGAAAATGGAAACTTCACTTCAGTTTGTTAGATAATATGATTTGAAATTATGAGAGCATGAAAATTCATTTCACTATAGATTTTCCCACTCAAGAGCCAGTTGTACCTCTCAACTTTGTTTTCTTCTTCGGCCTACCTGGCTGATACTAATTTACATGAACAGGGTTGAAGGGAGTTATTCTGTTCTTCCTTCCGATTTGGTTAGAGTTTCTTTCTTTTTCTTATTTGCTTGCTCATAATAGATATTTTAAATATATGACCTCTTAACAAGTTTGTGATTATGCTATTTCAGTTTTATAAGATAGTCTTTTTGTTTCAGTTAGTCATAGAATACATGTGGTTCTACCAATTACAGATTATTGGTAACCATATAATCTTTTTTGTGAAGATCAGACATTTTGAAGACTTTCTAATCCAACTTTTCCTATTATAATTGAATAAATCAAAGCCTAAAGAGAGTAACTTGCATGCACCAGTTGGGCACAGAGCTGAGGCTAAAAATCTTTTTTCTCAGTTCCCAAGTTGATACTGTCCTTACTGCTGTGCTGCCTTTAAATATGATTGGTAACCTTAACAGTATTGAAATGGCTGTGTTTTTAACATAGAAAATTACTATTAGTAAGATATTTTATACTTGTTTTACTGTTGCATTTATTTTCCAAAGTAATTTTTATGTAATTAAAATGAAATATTTTCATTATGTAGATGCATGATGGAAAATTTACTCTAAGAAATACTTAAATATCATTTCCTAATCTATTTCTGTTTTTGAATAAACTCTTTCAGAAAGATGAGGTCTACCTTAATCTGGTGCTGGACTATGTTCCAGAAACAGTGTACAGAGTTGCCAGACACTATAGTCGAGCCAAACAGACGCTCCCTGTGATCTATGTCAAGGTATGTAAAAATGAAGCAATTTCCCATTTTAGAAATATGTATCATGAGAGAGAATATTGCATTTAATAGTTAGAGAAATAACTGCAAAGTAAGTAGAAATTTCTCTTAAATTCTTTTGCATAGTGTTAAGATGTGAAGTTATTAGTCATATTAAAGATACTCAGATACATTGAGGTGAACTTTTTCACAGATAGTTATGGATCTTAATTCTGCCAGCCCTGTACCTTTATAGTTAGTTTCTGGTATCTTTATTGTGTTGCTAACCAAAAAGAGAACATCATATAAACTCACATAAAGTTACATAGTTACAAACATGCAATTATGTAAAGTTTCATTGGCATTTGTAGATATATTCATTGCATCTGTTACAGAAATTTAAACTTTGGCAGCTTTAAGCATATAGAATTACTATTTAGTTTATGGTGTCTAATATTAGTGTCATCTTATTTGATAGAACTCATGACGAAGTAGGTGGGAGTAGCATAACTGTCATTAAAGTGGAAGGCATTCCACATGCCACATCAGCTCCACCCCTGGGGCTTGCTGAGCTGGTGACTGAGTCCCAGTGTGGTGGCACACAGGTTGAGGAGGCTGAAAAAGACGAGGTACACTATGAGTCCGAGCTGTGTAGTGAGACTCACACATAAAAAAGTGGTAGACATTTAGAAATGTTTGACTGTCACACTGTGAAAATTAGGAGTTAAGTTTGAAAATTCAGATATCTAAATGTTCAGATTTACCCTCTATAGAAGTTACTCTAGAAAATAAAGTGATATCACTCAGTGTTTTATGGTTCAAGTTTTGAAATTTTTCTTGTCGTAATTTTAAACTTCATAATAAAATGAATACCAGAGCAGGAACATGAATAGTAAAAGTTCTTTTAGAACTTTTGGTAGCTAGGTTATTTTGGCAAGTAGATTAGGACTCTTATTGAATTAAATAGTAGGGATTAAAAACTGATTCTGGTATTATGGTGTTTGGGGTTATCAAAATTTGGTTGATATTGTAATTAAATTAATAGCAGTAAGACTAGAAGAGATGCAGGGTTTTTTGTGTTTTGCTATAGCTTTTATTCTGGTTTTAGAATATCAAATCTTATTCTAGATAACTGGCATAGTATTATATCCCTTGAAACTCCCTAAACCTAGAGAAATCCTTGAGCTCTTTGTTTAGAAGGATGCTAGTTTGGATCTGCTTATACTGTAGCTTTTATTATTGCCAGTGTTTATGAAAAGCCCTAAATTTGGTTCCTGAAGAACTAGTTTTGAGGCCCAACATTTCTACTTACGTTCTTTTAGAAAAGCTGTAATCCTTTCTCTTCTTAGGTTCCATTGTGGTAATATTTGACTTCTTTTCTATCTAAAATATAGCATTATTGACCTGTAAAATGAACTTAATATGCAAGAACATCTGAGGGCTTTAAAACAGAATAGAAAGGTTTATTTTATCAAAAAGTGGCATATTGAGGACAAGGACATTCAAATATATATGGCGCTCATATTAACAGATATAAGTAAATGTTAATATTTGTTATAAAAGTAATTCAGAAGTTATAAATATCATTCTTAATTGGCTTAATTGGTAAAATCTTGGGGGGGAGAAAGGGTATAGTGGTTTCTATTTAATCTACTCTTCAAATTTAGTTAGCTCTTTCTGGATTAGTCTTTTATCTCTTTTCCCAATGTCAGATGATTTTCTGTTCAAATATTTGCTTTTAAAGGATTGTCACTCTAAACATTTGGTTTTATTGTTTTCAGACATTTATAAAAGCACAGAAAATACAATAACAAACTCATGTACCCATCATACAACTTAAATGATCAATTCATAGCCATTTTTGTCTCTGTGCTAACCTCATTTCCTTTTCTATTCTGAAGCCAATTACAGATACTGTTTTCTATGTTTATATAGGAGATAGAGCCCTTCTTTTAAAAAGTATAATATTATACAGATAAGTAGTATTTTTTAAGCTTTATTAAATATCAGTTTATAGTTTCTTTTTTTTTTAAACTTGGCATCCAATTAAGTTTTTGTATACTATGTATCATTGTTGTGCTTTTAGTGTTTCTTTTTAAATCTGTAGATTCTTTTCTCCTTCTATACTTGTTGTTAAAGCAAGTAAGTTATTTGACATGTCATTTCTTGGTTTGGATTTTGCTGGTTTAGATTTTGATAGAGGTGTTAACATATTCCTCTGTGTTTCCTAAAAATAAGTGATTAAATACTTAGTAATTAAGTACATTTTTGATTGGAGTCAAAATTACTTCTTAAGTAGTAATGGGTGTTTTCCTAAGGAAGAATGTAATGCCCTTTTCTTTTTGTGACATTAGTGGCCAAAGATGACTATTACTTAAGTTCATTACTTCATATAACCCATAATACTTCAGTATTACTCCTTTGCAACTTACCAAGCAGACAGTTTCCATGAAGTGAGAAACTTTCCTGTGTTACTAATTTGTACTCTTAAGATAAAAGTTATATAAAGGACCAGATACTTGATCCATTCATTTTATTTATCAAAATTCATAATTAGTTCCACAACATTTTTATAAGTAACCAATCAGGAGTTTTCTTGTTTATTTAAGGTATCTTACATGAGTCTGTCTGTCTGTCTGTCTTTCTTTCTTTCTTTCTTTCTTTCTTTCTTTTTTTCTTTTTTTTTTTTTTTATGATACTGGGGATTGAACTCAGGACCCTGTGCTTGCCAGGCAGGCGCTTATTCTACTGAGCTATCTCTCCGGCCGTACATGAGTCTTAATATTAATTCAGTGTTTCAGGTTCATATTAAACGTTTTTTCCTCTGACTTGGAATCAGTCTTTTCTTTAAGGAGACCTTGTTCTTTTAGTGAGAAATGGTATTAAGAGCTCTTTCTGCCATCTTTCCGTGCCGCCATAATGGTGCACATGAATGTCCTGCCTGATGCTCTCAAGAGCATCAACAGTGCCGAAAAGAGAGGCAACACCAGGTCCTCATTAGGCCGTGCTCCAAAGTCATTGTCCAGTTTCTAACTGTGATGATGAAGCATGGTTACATTGGCGAATTTGAAATCATGGATGATCACAGGGCTGGAAAAATTGTTGTCAACCTCACAGGCAGGTTAAACAAGTGTGGTGTGATCAGCCCCAGGTTTGATGTACAGCTGAAAGATCTGGAAAAATGGCAGAATAACCTGCTCCCATCTCATCAGTTTGGTTTCATTGTATTGACGACCTCAGCGGGCATCATGGATCATGAGGAAGTGCGATGAAAACACACAGGAGGAAAGATCCTGGGATCTTTTTCTAAGGATGTAAAATATACAAATAAAATGCCTCAGTGGACAAAAAAATAAAAAAGAAAAGAAATGGTTTTAAGAGACTGAGTCTCAATTCTGGAAGTACTGATTGCTGCAGAATATTATTTGTAAGTCTTGTTAGTAAACAGTTGGAAAGTAATGTGGGTAATGTGTTCAAGAGTATTTGTTTACCCCTAGAGATAACATACTTCCAGTTGAAATTGAGGTGATTTTTTTTTAATCGTAATAATTTTGTATTTGCTTTTATTTACACTGAAAATTCCATTTCTTGAAGACTCCACTATAATTATTCATTCTATCCAACACTTGCCATAGATTGGAGTAGTAGTCCTAGCACTACCTCCTCCAGCTGAAAGTAATTTCTTTTTCTAACTCTTTATCTTCCATTAGTTCTATTTGGAATGAATAGTCAAGTTTTCTGTTTAAAGCAACATCAGATAATAACCCTTTTGTGTGATTATACCCTGTTATGTTTTGTTTCCTTTTACCTTTAATACCATTATTTTTTTTTTATTTTTATTTATTTGAGAGAGAGAGAGAGAGAGAGAGAGAGAGAGAGAGAGAGAGAGTGTGGTGTGTGTGTGTGGCCAGCTCAGCCCACCAGGGGGCGGGGCTGGCTGGCATGTGGTGCTGGGGGATTGAACCGCGGTCCCTGATGCCTTGCCAAGCTTGTTCTAAGTAGGTGCCTTAGACCACTGAGCCATCTCTCCAGCCCAATACCATTATTTTTAAATATTTTAAGTTTTACTTTTAAATTAATCTATTTGCATACATCCAAAGTAAAGTTTAGAAAACAGAATCTTTTGAAAGAAGCTTAACTTTTATGTGGGTTTATCTGTTCCTTTCTTCCACCAGTTAAATATTTAAAATTTTAAAGTTTATTGTATTTTATTTTTTATCCTAAAGTTTTTTTTTTAAATAGCAAATGTGTGACTTTTATTCACTACCTACACTTCTTCAGCTTTTAATTAAAATATATTCTGTACGTTACTCTTGTGTGTGTGTGTGCCTTTTTTGTAGTTATGTATTACTCTCGTAATTGTATCCTAATTTATTCAGTAATAACCTATTAACACATCTATTCTTTTTTCCTTTCAGATCCCACTGTCCCACTCCTTTATTACAAATACTGAACTATTTGTAGTGCTGTGGTGAATAGTCTTGTGTACATGTCTGTTGTATTTTCACCAGCATTTAACTAGTTGAACTAAATTTCTGGCATCATGTGTCTATTTCTTTCTCTGTCTCTTTGGTTTCTTTTTTACTATTATATGTACTGAAATTGGCATAAACAGAGATCTACCATATATTCCCTCACCCCTTGTGGGAAAATGGATGATTCTTTTATAAAACCACAGTCACAGGTATTGACTGTGAAAATGATTCTTTGAAGACACTAATGTTTTATGTTTACGGGTCTGGAGAGATAGAAACACTGTAATTAATGAATTTATGAATGATCTCCTTATTCAGTCTATATAATTTTATTGCAATTCTGTTATGCTATATGAAAAACTTTAGGCTGTGAAATGAAGATAAAAGTAATAAATACGTAGAATTGTTGCCTTTATGGACCTCAGAATCTAGTCTAATAAAGACTTGTGTGACATATAAGTTACTAACATGGCAGCTGCATTTCTTTGTGAGCATTTGCCTTGCACTTTTTTTTTTTTGCAGGGAATTGAATATACTCTGTGGCCATATACAGAATGTCTTTCTTCACTCCTTTTATACCAGCACCTATTTTATATTTGATAATAAAGTAGAAATTAAAAATGTTTCAAATACTGTTGGTTTTTTTTGATGAGTATCCTTCAGAACTAAGTGGGTTTTAAAATGCAGCTCTAAAACAGATGACTAACAAATCATGGTATTATTACAAACTTAAGTTTTTATATTTTTAATAACTAGTGTGTTGCCATGTTTCTCGGGCTGACCTTGACCTCCTGAACCCAAGTGGCCCTCCAGTTTCTACTCTCTTGTGGGTAGAACTACAGGCATGTATCATTGTACCTGCCTTAGACTTTCTTTAGATTAAGAAATTCCCAGTACAAAGTCTGAATACATTAAGAGCTAGATTCATTTTTTTGTTGTTGTTTTAGAGAATAAAATTATCATTCTTTCTTTGTGTGGTCGACTCAGCCCACCCTGGGGGTGGGGCTGGCGTGGCACATGTTCCCTGTGTGTTTGCCTACACAGGTGCTTTAGGCTGCTGAGCTATCTCAGCAGCTCCATAAAGTTGTTATTCTCTTGTTTTTAACAGCTGTTGTGGCACAAAGAGAACATTGGATTTGAGTTAGATTTATAACTTTTTGAACTGTGCTCCTTAAACATTACTTTCCTTACTTACAAAATAAAAGTGAGACTAAGTGTGTGTCTCATAGAGTGATTGCAAGGATTAAACAAATAGAGGTGTACTTGCTTTGGTAGTTAATGCATGTTAGCTCTATCATATTAAGGTGTGTTGACTATGTTTGAATTGACTTTTTTTTTTTTTTTTGGTGACAGATAGTGAAAGTAGGGCCTTGTGTGTGCCTGGCAGGCATGCAGCCAGAGTACACGCCTGGCCCACATTTGAGCTTCAGAGCATGTCGTTGTGATTATGTAGTTGTCTAGCTACTTATTTTAATTCTGTACCATCATTTACTAGAATAAAAGTAAGGCAGAATAAAGAAACCGTAATTAGAGGAGTCATACCTATACCACTGCAGACTATTACACATGTGATATTGGCCTAGTTGTCTAATCTCTTCCTGCCTCAGTTGTTATTATTTATTTATTTGTGTATCTAGCACAGGGTCTACAAGGTCTCACTACACAGATCAGACTCCTAGTGATCCTCCTATTTGCCTCCCAAGCACTGGGATTATAGGCCTGTGCCACCTCGCCATCTCGGTCGCTGTCTCAGAGTGCCCTGGGGACAGGGCCAGCAGGGCACACTTGGGTTCCAAGCTGGGCCCCTGCATCTGCCTAAGCAGGCACTTTATTCCTGTGAGCTGTCTGGTCAGCCCTAGTTATTTTATATTTAAAATAGTAATAAAAATAGCATACTACTACTTTATGAAGTCATGATGAAGTTTAAGTGAAACAGTATATGTAAAGCCCATAGAGCTTTATGATACATGGTACACAGCAAGCTATTTTTCTTATTCTTGCTATCTTTCTAGATTAGAAAAGGCTTTCAGCCTTCTTAGAAATATACTTTAATATTATAAAATTATGTGTGTATAAATAATTATAATTCTTGACTTTTCAAAAAATATGAGACCAGGGATAGAGTAATCTTTCAGATGAAAGAATACAGTCTTTTGTTTTCCTTTGCTTTGCTTTGTTTTTGGTGTAGGGTCTCACTGCACAGCTCAAACTCTAGTGATCCTCCTGTTTTCAGCCTCACCAGCACTGGGATTACAGGTGTGCACCACCACACCCAGATTTATTGGCTGGCTCAGTGCATGGGGGTGGGGAGTGAGGCAGTGTGGCATGTGGTGCTAGAGATTGAACCCTGGTCCCTGTGATTGCCTAAGCAGGTGCTTAGTCCGCTGAGGTATCTTGCCAGCTCTTAAGGATACAGTTCTTCAAAAGATAATGAAATTAACTTTGCCAGACCTTAAGAATACAGTTTCTAAAAAAAAAGAATATAGTTTCTGAGGGAAACTATGGGGCCAGATGGGGCCAAGGATTTGATCCCCCGGCCTGCCCTGCCAGCCCTGACCCCAGGGCATGCTGAGACAGCAATTGAGACTAGGCATGGTGTCGCACGCCTCTAATCCCAAGTTTTGGGAAGCTATAAACAGGCAGATCACATGAGTCTGATCTGCTAGTGAGACCCTGAACACCCTGACACCCTTGCCTAAAAATTAAAAAAAAAAAAAAAAAAAAAGAGATTATAGTTTCTAAAAAAATGCTAAAATTCATTTAGGGCCAGCTTTCACTAATTTTGCAGACATAGGCATTAAATGTCTTTATACCATCAGTAAAATCTTTTAGTAGATACCTATCAACTCTGTTACTTTCAGAAGCTTATTTCTTAGTGAAAATGAATAAACTTACACTGTAAAGTTTAGGACAGGTATATCCAACCCATACCCCTAGGACATACAACCCCACGAGATCATAAACTGGCACCATTTTGTTGTTTTTAGAGACTTTAATGACTCAATTCTGCAGTACTTCACAGGCTGCATAAGTAACAGTGGAACTCTGTGTAGGGGAAACTACAGTGAGTGCTACCTCCACCATCTGCACCCATCACATATGGGCCAAAACCTATCTTTATCAGATGTAAACATGTGTTTGTGCCATGTAGCAAATATAGTGCAGTGATTACCAGTAATATTTTAAATTGCCTGTACATGTTTTGTGCCTGTGAAGACAAACATTAGTTGTTACTAAGCATGACAATTCCTCTTCCCTCCATGTGGCCCAGACCTATCTAAAGGTTAGATGCTCGTGCCTTAAAACTTGGAGATTGAGTCTGTGAATTGTGATACAGAATTCCAAAGTTTTAACTCAAATTTTAATGATAGAATACAGATTTAAATGAAGATCTTGCATATATCTTTTATGCTATGCTTCATTAAAGGCACACTGCCATTTTTTCATCTTGCTGCTGAAGGCAGGTAGATTTCATGTTGGCTTTAATTAACACCCAATTTTTTTTTTTTAAATGTATTTAGTAAAGGGTCTACAGAGTCTCATTACACACTTTGGACTTGTAGTGAGTCTCCTCTGTTTTCAGCCTCTCAAGTGCTGGTATTACAGGCGTGTTGTACCGCGCCCAGTCGCAATTAACCCAACTTTTAACAATGGTCTCTAGACATAGTACTGTATATCAGTGTTGCATTTGACCTTTAACTCTTTTTGTTGTATTTCTACCAAAGCACTAGTATCTATACTTTCAATTATTTCAAAAATTATTTTTGTAGTTTTAATCCTGGGGTAGAGGTCAGAAGGCGAATAGTCAAAAAAATTCAAAAGTGAAAACACCAGCCATGGAAAATCTAGGTATACTTGTGTCTTTTTTAGTAATAAAATAGAAAAAAAATCTATGGGCATGTAAGTAGGCATCTTTTGGTTTTGTTTGGTTGGCTAATTTTGTATGTTTCCTTGTTTGTTTTTAATGGTGCTGGAGATTGAATCAAAGGGTTTCACATATGCTGTACAAGTGCTAAGCTACGTCCCCAGTCCTCCTTTTCTCTTTTCTTTTTTTGTATTTTTAGGGAAGGGTGTTCAGGGTCTCACTACTAGATCAGACTTGTTGTGATTCCCCCTGTTTACAGCCTTCCAAGAGCTGGGATTACAGGCGCATGCCACCACACTCAGTCTCATTTGCCATCTCAGTGGGTCCCGGGAGCAGGGCCAGCACAGCAGGCCTTGGGATTGAACCTCCAGCCCCTGAGCCTGCTTGCAGGCATTTTAATACACTGAGCTGTTTGGCCAGTCCTCCCCTCCCCTCCCCTCCCCTCCCCTCCCCT